AACAAGAACCACATACAACTCAATTCTTATAGGAAATATCAAAAAGTAGTTTACAAATTTTTAAGTAAAAATATCATTTCAGTGGAATTGGGGGAGTTGCATATTAGTGGAAAACTTTGCAACATTAAAAAATAAATCTATAAACTTTTCCATCAAATTAAGATTATTTTATGAAGTTTCCACAGATGGGTGTTTTCAAACTTTATCCTCTAGTTTTTAAAAAATACGAAATAAGAAAATATAACCAAGTAGAACCAGTATATATCCTTGAAACTCAGGGTACAACGGGAATGTGATGTTTGGACGAACTAACCTTAGTATGAGAGGCAGGGACTTCAAGCCGGTCTGTATGGTTGTTATATAACTCAAAAATAACAGACCTTAGGTACTACAGTGATATCATATTTTGTGTAAACTAAAAAACAAAAATCATCCCATTAACTTTTGTAGTTTGAATAACAACCAAATGGAGCAAACACACCAATTAGCAGTTTCTATTGCAGCCAAATTGATCAAGCAAGGGCTAATCACATAATCTGCATACTGCAGGAGGGTACTCTCATGCGCCCAATGATCTGTCTTATGGAGTTGACATGAAGAAGATCCGATGGTGTGGCATCCTCCAGGTAATGCCTTCTTCCCCCATACATGAATTTATGGAACAAACAGTGATATTCTTACTTCTTCTTTTTTTCTTTTTTTTAAATAAAATTTGTTCATATTTTCCAATAGAGATGAATTCTAAAATAAAGTAAATTTCATGTCAATACCGGTTTCTTGTGTGTGAAAGCAGAGAATAGCGTTGGTGTACTTGTTTGTAGCTCTAATAGAGACTTTCACCACCAAGCTCAGACCAACTGTCCTAGCCCCTGGTCATTTCTCCATCTTCACTGCATATAAATGGCAATGGTAAGTGAACACAAATTCTATCAAAACCCTAAACACAATATTTTTGAGAAATTTAACTTTGATTACACCTTAAAAATTGTTATTAGTAAATGGCCTCACTCATTGTTCCAGGCTAGGAGGCTTTGTTGCATTCCTCGTTTACATTATCACAACATATGCACTATATGTGCCTGATTGGAGTTTCGTGGTGCACAACCATCATGGACCAGAGAGATACATGGTATGCAATAAATTAATTTATTTTTTTTTAAATAATATTGTGCCACTCATACATATAATAACCCATGAACTGATGTTGTTTTGCTTTAATTTTCAGGTAAAATGTGGGATGAGAGGACATCTAGGACCGGCCTGCAATGCTGTTGGTTATGTGGATCGACAAGTTTGGGGCATTAATCATCTCTACACGATGCCTGTTTGGAGCCGCTTAAAGGTTTGTGACAACTGACCTAAACAGTTTAGCACCCAACAGTCCATTCATTTTCTAATATGCTAATGGTTATACATTATTCATCACGCAGGCTTGCACACTTAGTTATCCTGATTCTGGTCCACTTCGCACAGATGCTCCAATTTGGTGTCGTGCTCCATTTGAACCGGAAGGCTTGTTGAGGTACATCAACAACAATATTTCCTTTTCTTTTCTTTTCAAACATAATGATTGGGAGCTAAACATGGGCTCTGCTACTGTTTTTCCCTAGTTCAATTTCAGCTATCCTCTCAGGCACCATTGGCATCCATTACGGGCATGTCTTGATTCATTTCAAGGTTAATTACAAACTTTTAGCTGCAAATAGAAGTCACTAATGGGAATCGAACATAAAATTCGTAATGTAAAGTGAGATTTTTTTATAGGGTCATGCTGAGAGGCTCAAGCAGTGGGTTTCAATGGCAATTGTTTTACTTGTTGTAGCCATCATTCTTCATTTCACAAATGGTAAGTCTCATGAAACTCATCTAAATGGTTTGTCTAAACTAATTTATTATAATTAAAGCAAGATAAACTAAGCATTTTTGTTTTGTTTTGGCAGCTATTCCTATTAACAAACAACTCTACAGTATCAGTTATGTCTTATTTCATTTGGAATAGTGTTCTCTGGATTCTACTTATTGGTAACACATTTAAATCTACCCTAGTGCTTAGCAGTCTTAGTATTAATCCAATACAAACAATGAATTATCTAAAGAGAATATGTTTCTTCTCTGCTTTCTTGTTTTGATAAATGAACAGATAGATGTTTGGGGACTACGAACTCCATTTCTGTTCCTGGAATGGATAGGAATGAACGCGATGTTGGTTTTTGTGATGGCAGCACAAGGCATTTTTGCAGCATTCATAAACGGATGGTATTACAAGAATCAGGATAATAATCTTGTAAGTAATGTAAATTTTTCTTTTTTTTTTTTTTCTTTTTTTCGCATAGAGTATTTGAATTTCGATATATTAATTACCATCTTAATATCTTCTGATGGTGTTGAAAACTTTACAAATGATCAGGTCAATTGGATTCTAAACCATGTGTTCATTGATGTTTGGAAGTCTGAGAGAGTAGGGACGTTATTGTATGTAATATTCGCTGAAATTCTCTTCTGGGGAGTAGTTGCTGGTGTCCTACACAAACTGCGTATATATTGGAAATTGTGAGAAAAAAGGACAGTTCAGTGCATGAGACTTTTGTCACTGTGAGATTTACGTAGGGCCCACATGTGAAGAGAGATTGTGAGAAGTGTAATAAAAAAAAATGGCAACAGGGTAAATGGAGCACTAGGCAACTTTTATACTTCTAAGATCAATGTTGTAAGATGTCAGTGTTAATCATTGTCTTTTATTTAGGATTTGTTCTAGTCATTATTTGTGTTTCAATTTGGCCAAGTGTTCGTTGATGGCTGGTTTAGTTATCAAAACTACAGTGTAAAAAGAGAAGATGTGTGAGTGTGCTATGTGAATGCAATTGTAAAATTAAATACATTGAATCTTCCAAAGTTGATTGTGGCTTGAGAACAAATGTAGAAAGTTTCCATGCCTTCTGTTAGACCTAAATTTTTGGTATTTTGAGCGAAGAAGGGAGAGGATATTGCAGAAACCTTGTCATGGTTTTGGAAGTTAAAATTAAACCTAAAATGAGCTCACATAGAATCATTTTTGTTTCAAGGTTTGTTCTTCATGGCGGCAGAGTTGCAGAACCACCACCTTTGGTACCTTCAACCTTGTTATGCAAGAATCGTATAGTTTCAATTCACAAAAACAGTAAACTAAAAATAAAACAAACACAAAACTCAGCATGATAAATGCGGTTTGACAATGCACCTTCCTTCTTCATGCAGGAGAGTCACAGTTAATGCTTCCAACCTGTATAAGGCCATATTGAAATTGAATTACTATGTCAGAGTTCTCTATTTTTCCTCAAGTCTCTCTGTTTCACATATAGCACTTAAAAAAAGAAGCCTATGTATCCTGCAATATCCTGCGAGATCAGAACAAGCCTTTTAAAACCAATGCAATCTTGATTAACAAAAACAAAAACAGTGAAATTTTTATTTTTTACCATTTTGGGTGAAATTGGAAAACTGTAGGAAAGCAAATAAACTAGACAAAAATAGGTTTATCCAAACAAAGACGAGAAAGAAGTGCTAGAGACCCTATTCTCATAATAAATTACTGAACTATAACCACCATTATGTTTCTAAATGCATTTGATCTGTATAATTAACAACAGAAATTCGATCTGAATACGTATTTCCAAATACCTACTGCAAATGCTAAAGAGTTCCCTGAGGCATTGTTTCACATTGGGATTAAACTAAAAGTGTCTTGGAAATAAGTAAAAGTGTTAAAAGTGAATTGATTTCAAGAAAAAAGTGATTTGAATTCAGTAAAAAGTGCCTCGTTGTTCTTCAATTCTTATCTTTTTCTTGTGCCCCAAGGACACTTGTTAGCAAAACCAAACCACTATTACATGGTTTTCAGGTTTATGGACGTCATCAAAGTAAATTCAAACTAGACTTTTGTCAGTTCAAATTTGGTTTAACAACTAAGATCTGCGACATGCACTAAACCTAAAAACAGTTGTTTGCATTACCTACTCAGTGGCTGTTAACTGTTGGAATGTGTCTCGTATCGCCTGGAGTTGCCCCATCTAGGCTAGTTAAAAAGCTCCAGCTTCCCTCTTCTTAATACTTAGGTTTTAAGGAGAAGTGTGGATTGAACTTTTCAATTTGGTATTAAATCTTGGTTGGGCCTGTGACTGATGTGCCATTTGTCCGACTACTGTATGTTGGTGTGGGACACATTGCAACACACCCATCACAGGCTAATACTAAATTAAAAAGTCTAGTCCACCCTTTTCCTTAAAACCCATTAAGGAGAGGGAAGCCTTATAACCAACACCAATGGGGTAAATCCTGGCGATGTGGAACACATTCTAACATTAACAACTTTACACGTCTTCCTTTCTCTTTTTTGGCAATCGGTGGGAGGGGAATAGGGGAAGGGATGTATCACACAGTGGTGAGGCTCCAATCTAGACATTTATACCATTGACAAATTGTTTATTGTATTATATTTTATTTTAATTTTTTTAAATGATATTCAATGTAACAGAGACCCTACTTTGATGTACAAATAGCATGAAAATCATAGATGGGACTCCACACAAATTACGTCAAGATGTGACTCCTTTGAAAAGTAGTGTGCTGGGAGATATTATGTGTGCAAAATATCATCATTATGAAAATGACAATAAGCATATGAAAAACAGGTTAGTCCAAAATAATCGAATGTACGAGGTGGATTTATTAGGCAGACATGCCTATGACGCAGCTAGAATTTTTCATATGAGAGGACAAGGTTCCGAGCTGATATTTTTTTTTTGTCTCTCAACATAAAAAAGATGACAGGAAAGGACAACCCAAGATAATTGATTCAACATTGGAAATCATACAAAAGCAGTACTAAATGGTTTTTTTGAAACATATATATTTTTTTCCCCAATCCGTACAAGATTTACAAATATCATGAGACTTTTGTCAGACTAGACATTCAATTATGTAAGAAAATCCAACAAATACGAGGAAGATCCATACATAGATAGGAGAATAGAACCCATAACCTCCGATTGATGTACAAAGATACAGTAAACTCTTGAGTTTTAATTCAATAGCTTACATGAAGATGTACAATAATAGTTTGTATACAGAACCAGGGAAAACAGTCTGGTTAGTGAGCATGGTTTAATCCAAATCACCCACCAAATAAACATATATAGCTATATTGAAACATCCATGAAATGATACAATAACTCCTCTCCACAACAGATTTCATATATACAATGGCATGAGCACTCAACTCCCCTCTCATCTACTCACTTCTAACTTCATCTTTTTACTAAACAAGTTGTTAACTAGAACATCATACAGCTCAAGCTCAGCCTTTTCACAATATACGTGCTATATTTACATCTAGTAAATATTTATATTGGCTGAAGTATACTGTACAGAGATTGAAGCTGTTACAATCCAATCGGAATGGTATCTTCAGTGATCATCACTCCAACCCATTAACATCTTCCAAACTGCTTCTTCAATCCGGTTCCTCGGAACAGCTGAGCCATCCCCTTCATCAAGTAAAACTCTGTAAACTTCCCATTCCCGATCTCCAATCATGTGCCTCCCAATCTCAGCCTGTATTTTGATCAATTTGGAAGCAAAATGAAGAACAGAAAGAAAGAATATTACTGACCACCAATATGTTTGCAGAAAAAAAATTGCTTGCTTTTTAAAGAATTGTTTCGGAAGAAAACCTTAGACAATTTCAAACACAAACTGAAGAAATTTGTCATGTAGGGACGGTTTATAATGGAAGCCCCCTCTTTAATGAGAGCCTCTTCAAGTTAAAACTCATTACAAAACACCACTATCGTGGAAGAGGAGAAAGATAATGCAATTTGTTTTCCTAATAGCTATCCCATTTTTGGGACTGTGACATCAACTTTCAATCTAGCAAAAGAAACATGCATCCAAATTTATGGATTGCACATTATGCATTGTAAAACAATTCCAGCAATGCACTCGTCTAAGGGGTAAGTTTGGTGTGCTTTTCTCAAGTTGAAAGTTGATAATCAAAATACAAAAAAGCTAAAACCACCACTCCCAACTTTTAAATAATCAGCTTTTTAACTTATTTAAGTTATTTCTGTCTTATAAGCAGTAAATAGAAGCTGCAATGCAACAAATAGACTGGCACAGACTCCCAAAATAAAATAAGTTATAAGCAGCTCCATAACGAAAATAAGGGAGAATCCAATTAATCCCATTTTGAGCTACTGTATAGTATGCAGATCAGGACTTACCGAAAAGATGCCAGTGTTGAGCATCTTGAGAGCAAGGGTGATATCATAAAAAACAAGAGGCCGACCCTTGCCAGATATCTCCACTGGATTTGCTACCAGCAGTTCTGTATCAGGACCCCGGCTCATCAAAGCTACTCTAAGAGGACGCAGCAGTTCTGTCCGAATACGAGAGCACAATGCAGCCTTCTTGCTAGGGTCAACTATCTTCTTCCCATCTGCTTGCATGACAAATAAGTCCAGTTCACAGTTTCTTTTCTGTTTTGTTGTGATGCGCCCATAAGAAATCTGGTATACATGACGAGCTATTAATGTTTAGATTACAGATCCAATAAGAGTCATGATGTGTTTGTGGTATTAAATTAATATAAAATATATCGAAAATAGCTAATCATCAAAATTATCTACCTGGATATTGTAATCCTTTAAAGTTTTCATTATATCATAGAGGAGACCTTTGTGATCTTGGCAAACAATTTGGACAAGCGTGTGAGCAGGACTGAGAGAGTTATCCATTGTGATAGAAACATCGTTGGAGGTGTGAGATCCACTTTGGCGTTCATCAAACTTTTCTTCTGTTATTGCAGGAGGAAGAAATGAAGGCCCTTGCGAACATGCAGTAATTTCAGGGCCAACCATTTCTATTTCACAACTAATCATGGTATCCCCTAAAACAGTTCTTAAATGATCATGTGTATCCTCCTGTCTCTTCTTTGTGTGTAGAAGTTCCCTGACAATAAGACAAGAACGTGGAAGACAAGATAAACATGACTTCATAACAGTGCAAGATCCTTATGAGAGGATTGTGGGAATGTTTCCCTCCATCCCCGCAGGTCTATTCACATTTACTCCGATAACTTAATCTAACTATTCTAAACTAACGGGATTTATCAGAAGTAATCACGTGATACAATAAATGGGATGCACTCCTTTTACGCTGATTGTGGATTTGAGTATGGATTTAAAAAGGGAAAGGGAAAGGAAGAAGGCACAAGAAATGGAGAAAAAACCTAACTTATATTTCATCCACATTTCCCTCACCTTTTCCTTTCTTTTCCATTTCCAAATTCCTACCCAAATCCATGATCCCAAAAGCAGCCTTAAGTTTTACAATTCTGATTCAACTCATGATGACCCCAACTGCAAACAAACAAAGAAACAAACAGAAAAAGAAAAGACATCAATCATAAATTGTCTTCAATTACCCATTATCCATCCACTAGACGGTCTTTACATGACCATAGTTCAAAGGCAACCTACTGCACATTCCTAGTTGTCTTAGTGACCAAATTTCAGAGACTGTTGCAGAATATTGTTTTGACTGTCGCAAAGTTGATGGGTGGGAAGAATCGCCCATTAGAATGAAATTGCCAATGTTCAAGAGTGGAGGTGGTCAACCAATCGATAGTCGTCAACCATCATTTATCCTAAGCATCCCTATTTCAGTTTAGGAAAAGGATAAATGGGACAAGATATTTGTTTTGAAAAGATGTGCATCCAACATGTTCCCAACAAAACTTCCACAACTTTTGTTCCGGCTTCCTTGTTTCGATAATATCCACGTAATCAACTTATTCACCCATAGTGAGGACAGTATATAGCAGGAAGAATGTCGCAGGTAAGTGTTAACAATTGGCCATACACACTTGTCCAAGAAAAGAGTAGAAAATTTATATGATGACAGAAGCACAAAAGATTATGCAATATAATTATAATTACTTTGAGTTGGACGGTGTCAAGATTGTAAAACCTGGTGTCTGTGATGAAGAATAAGTCCATCACTCTGCCATCTGGGGTGGTTGATACCTTCACTTTCTTTATCGTAAGCTCGAGATCGCAAAGAACCACAGTCACATCTACACAAAATTTTCTACATAACTCAATGACAGGTAAATTTCCGATATCATGCTAGAATCTAAAAACTCAAATAACACAAACAGCACAAAGAAAAGGGCAAAATCAGATAAAATCATACCCAAAACAGCTTTACAAAAAGAAAAAAGGAAAATCGTGTGACTAAATAATGCTTACAACTACGAAAACATAGGGAAATCCCAGAAAACTTATGGTCTTACGACAAAAGCAAGTTTTTATCTCTCCTTCTGTTTCCCGACAATCAAACATAACATAAAGGAGCATAAAGAACAAAAACACACCACATCAAAATTCTAATTCCAAAATGTGGTTAGATTCAAAATTCATCTCAATAAAACACTAGTTAAAAAAATTTTAAAAACCCAATGCTCAGATTAAGACCCGTTTAGCATAACACTAGCTACACAAAGAAGATTCTTGAATCAAGCAATTCAACTAAAACCCATCAAGACAATTTGACAAAGTACCAATAGTATAATTGGATATGAGTAATGAGTCCGATAAATTACCATGGAGAAGGCCTCTTCGGTCATGACAAGAGAACTTCAAGAGGAAAACATCAGAAGGCTTGGGGGTTTGCAATTCGGATCGGTAAAAGGAAATCCCAGATGCTGAAGAACAAGAAGGGCATACCCCCATCAGTCTCTTCTTCAACAAACCCCATCTAGTAGTCGGTTTTCCGATTACCCAGAACACTATGTAGCACCATTTTCCATCAGTAGACATATCTGAACCCACACAATCAAGGAGGCAAATTAACAAAACTATCAAAAATCCAATTACTTTCTTCACAAAAACCCAACTAGAGAGAGATGTGTAGCACAATTCTACTGCCCGTAACATCAAATAAGAAGAACACCCACACATCAAGGAAGCAAATTAAGAAAACTATCAAAAACCCATTATTTTCTTCACAAAATCCCAAATAGAGAGAGACGTGTAACACAGAAAACCAGAGGGAGAGAATCATTTCCCACCAAATTAAGGAAAGAATCACCAAAATCTCAAATACCCATGTCTTAGTTCACAAATTATCCATACATAAACGTATATACACCTGAAGACAGAAGAATAAACTCTTCAAATTGATTCATATACACACACACACAGAGAGAGAGAGAGAGAGAGAGAGCATATATACCAACTCTGACAATGATCAAACCGAAGAAAAGGATGAGGCGGCAGAGATCACAACCCAAGCCAGTCTTGTCAGGGCAATTGACAGTAATCACACTTTGCTCTTCTTCTTTCTCGGACTGCTTGATGATCACCACGTCGTCATATAGAATCCCCATCTCTTCTTCTTCTTCTTCTTTAAATCAAATCTTCAAACACATGACATGAATCCCTGAACTGTTCTTTGCCAATACTGGGTGCTATTCATTTTTCATTCTAATCTTCTTTTTCTTTCTTTGCTTTGTTCTGTTCTTACATACAAAACAAACAAGTATTAGTACTTCGAGCAGATACACACCAAAATCACGGATCTTGGGTTCTTATTTACCTTTGTTTCTCCGTTATATACTGGCATGCACACACAAACACACAAAGAAACAAAGGAGAGAGAGAGAGAGTAGTTTTCATGTACCCAACATGTGGGGATTGGATACATTGGGTATACATTGTTTGTTGTGAAATTTTAATTTTTTATAATTAAAATTTGGGTGAAAGATTACTCTGTTTCTTGTGATGCATCACTTGTTGTTGTGGTTGTGACAGTTGGTTGCAGTAATTGTTGTTTGGTGTGGTGTCTGTGTTTGTGATATGATTGTTTGTCGAAGACTTTCAGACCACGAGACTTGTTATTTCCTACCTAATTCCAAGTTCAATATTGTATTTTCTACCCTGCTTGTTTGATACCTTCGGTAAAAATTTACTTCAAAGCAACGGTTTGTGCTTCGTATTTGGCTTGTTAATAATTTATTAAATAATTATAAAAAAAAAATGGTAAATTACATTAAGACTCTCTAAACTTTTTTTTAATATAGATTTCCTCTCATATTTAAAAACTTATATTTCTTTTTTTGAAATTTGTAATCTCAATATAAATTGTTTAATAGATTATTGTTGCAATGTCCTAAATTTTTTTAAATTAAATGACTATCTTGTCATTTTTCTTATCATTTTTTGTTTCTATCATTAGGATTACATTCTATAATTTTTCATTATTAAATTCTATTTGAACATATTCATATTGAATATTGATATATAAACATAAATTTTATATAAAATTTTCAAATATAATGATATAGTTTAATGGTGACATTTCACTTAAAAATAAAACACCCATAAACATAATTTATATTTATAACAATATCACTATCACAATATTTTTATGATATTTTTTTGTATAAATTTTTATACATATATATAATTTTTTTTTTTATTTCCACCATTATATCTAGATTAGATCAACTTAATTTAAATATAAAAGTATAAAATTTGTACAAAAAATTTTAAACAACTCTATTAAATACAACAAAATAAGATAATGTATTGAATTTTTTTTTTTTTTTGTATTTAGTGAATTTAAAAAAAAATACAAAATATTATACTTCTTAACTATATTTAGATTAGGTATATCTGAAAAATAAAAATAAAAATTGTTTAAAATATTTTAAAAGTTCAGTAAAAAAAATGAAAAAAAAATCAATTTTTTGTGTGAGTTAATAAAAGTATAAAATTTGTACAAAAAATTTTAAACAACTCTATTAAATACAACAAAATAAAATAATGTATTGAATTTTTATATTTTTATATTTTTATTTTTGTATTTAGTGAATTTTAAAAAAAAATACAAAATATTATACTTCTTAACTATATTTAGATTAGGTATATCTAAAAAATAAAAAATAAAATTGTTTAAAATATTTAAAAAGTTCAATAAAAAAATGAAAAAAAAATTAATTTTTTGTGTGAGTTAAATCAACGAAGATGATTGTTATTTCTCTTGAAATGACATGAACAAAATATCTGTATTATTTTATTATTTTATATGTATACAACCTAAGGGGCAAATATGTTATTTTAATTTGACAAGAAATAAGTGTAATTTTTCAAATGTGATAGAGGATCTGTATTAAACAGAAACATCAAGATGTGTCAATGTAATTTGCCCTAAAAACAAAATTTAAACCTTGAGCCTTATAATAAAATAAATTCTAAGTTTTTAATTTTATTAATTTAAATCTCAATTTTTGATTTATTTTCAATCTAAACTATTTACTTATTTTTATTAAGTTAAAACATATAGAAAAATAGTATTTTAGTCATTAAACTCAATAAAAGTATCTATAAAATGTCTAAAATACTCTTTTTTATTGAGTTTAATGACTAAAATATTATTTTTTCTGTCGATTTTACTTACAGTAAATTACAAATACAATCCCTGAGGTTTGCTTAAAATACAAATTAATCCCTGTGGTTTAAAAAATTACAAATACCCCTTATTAGAATTTTTTATTTAACAGAATTGACTGAAAAAATAAAATTCATAATTTCTCCCTTATACAATAATAAATTACCTAAATTATTAATTGAAACATATTTTTTATATCATTAAAAAATGTTAATTGACTTGATGATTTATCAATAAAAATGACAATTTGTTATAAAATTAGAAACTTTCGGGAGTGTAATTTTTGAAATCACAGAGGACGATTCGTATTTTAATAAAACCTCAGCGGGTGTATTTTTAATTTACCTTTTTACTTAATGAAAATAAAGAAATGATTAACATTGAAAACAAATCAAAATTTTAGGATTAAATTTAACAAAATTAAAAATTCATGATTTAATTTGGCATTAGGGTCAAAGCCAAGGTTTTTTTATTTTTTTATTTTAGAATTGAAGACACTAAATTATAATTTTTGTAGGTGCCTTACCGGAACAATTCTTGTTTTTAAAGCGGCCCAATCTTGGCAAAATTATTATGGAATAGCAAAAAGTGCCTTTTTATTTGAGTTTATTTATTTATTTATTTTTAATGTATTATGAAAAAAAATAAAAGATACTTTTGTCAATTCATACAAAAATTACAAGGTAATGGGGTCACCTTCGCTTTTTGAAAGTTATTTGGTGCTCACCAAGGCTTGTAATCGGGGAAAATGCCCTAGACCCTTTCCCTCCACTCCAACCACCCACACTTTTTTTTGATTGACTCAAAATTTTTTATTTTTTTTTAGTCTTGATCACAGCCCCCGCGTGGAGGTAGGGGCGCTGGAATCACCCCACTGGGGTCCCCAACATTGTTGCTTGTATCTGTGTGATTAATATAATATATATCAGTACGTGCTTGTCATAATTTATTAAGAAAATTATAGGCAATCTTTTTTTTTTTTTTGATTGGCTCAAAATTTTTTAATTCTTTTTTAGTATTGCTCACAGCCCCCCACATAGAGGTGGGGTGCTGGGTTCACCCCCACTGAGTGTCCCTAGCATTGTTGCTTATATTTGTGTGATTAATATAATATATATCACTACATGCTTGTCATAATTTATTAAGAAAATTATAGACAAAAATTATTTGACTCTTATAAAAAAAATAAAGTTTAAATTTTTAATTTTATCAATTTAAATTTTAATATTTTAATTTATTTTCAATCTAAATTATCCGTTTATTTTTATTAAATAGAACTTACAAAAAATGATATTTTAAATTTAACTCAATGTACCTATATAAAATGTTTAAAATACTCTTTTTTTTGTTGAGTTCAATAGTTAAAATACATAATTAACTGACAAAAATAAGCAAATGATTTAAACAGAAAACAAATAAAAAAATTATGATTTAAATTGACAAAATTAAAATCCAAGATTTATTTTGTTATAAAAACCGTGATTTTTTTTAGTAATATTTATTTTAAATTACAGTTTGTTAATTTATTAGTAGGAGTTTTTTTAACTTTTAAATAATAAAATGTTTTTAATTTATTTTGAGAATTTGGACTAGACTATTTATTGTAGTTTTTGTTTACCACACTGATATCAAACTATATATATCCAATAAAAAAATCCAATTGGGTAACGTTGTTCAACTTCTAGAAATCAAAATAGCTAAAAATAAAAATAAAAAATAAAATGAAAATTCTATAAGGGTCCGTTTGGGAAGGGCTTTTCCGGGCCTTTTTGGCTATTTTAGCCACAAAAGATAAAATAGACTATTTTAGCCACAAAAGATAAAATAAGCTATTTTAGCCACAAAAAATAAAACATCACATCCAACCCATAATCATTGCACTTTTCTCTCATAAAAAAAGTCAAAAAGTCAAAAAGTCATTTCTAAACCAAACTTTTTAGCCCAAGCTAAAATAGTCAAAAAGCCAAAAAGCCAACCCACTTCCCAAACAGAGGCTAAGTCAAATCTAAGCAAGACCAACTAATACTAAGACATGTATCTAATATTTCAAAACATATAGATACATATAAGGTGTGCATGATCTACTGTATCTAATCCTTCACTGGAAAATTGTAGACTTATTATTTTGTTTTTGAAATTTTAATAAATATTTGAGGGCCTTATATTTTGTTAGACTTTAAGATTGTGAGTTGTGAGTGATTTCCATTTTGTTGAACATATATGTATTTTTCTTAAAATATATTGGAGGGTTTAGACCATCTCTAACGCTTCACCAAATCTTGCATCAGATTTAAAATTTAGTGAAAAAGTCACATTTTTGCAGCTCTAATGGTTTCATCAAATTGGTATCAAAACGAGAATTCACTAAATTTTTCATCAAAGTGAGAACAAGGGGAAGATTTCACTAATTTACTGTGCGTGACCGTTGGGGGAGACCAACCGGTCGACTGGTTCCCTTGCAAATAGGTTGGTTCAAACAGGTCAAAAGGTTCAAAGAGGTAAAAAAAAAATTGGTGAAAAATATCATTGGAGCAGTCTGTATCAGATTGAGAAAATGGTCTTTTTTTTACTCAGATTTGGTGAAAAATTTGGTGAACTGTTAGAGATACTCTAAGGCTTTTGTTAAAAACATTGGCTCAATTTCCTTTTATTATTATTATTATTATTATTTTCATTATTCCCTAATCACATATAGAGGAGAGCCATAATATTCATCATCCACTTTAAATTTTACATTTCTATTTTTTTAATTTCTTAAAAAATGTAGAGTATTTATTTAAACAACAATTCTAAGAATTCACAAAATTATTTAGACAAAATAAATATATGAACCACAATCATTTTAAGTATGATATACATCTCATTAATTTCAAATATACACCATTTACCTCATTTTTAAAGTAAAATTTGGGATACAGCTTCATAATACATAACATTTGCCTTACTTAAATGTAGAATAGAAATATCATTATTTTATATTTGTAATCATTTCATTACTTGTTAGAGCAATAAATCATTAAAAGTGTCAAATCATTTTCTTTATTTTTATACAATTTTTTTTTGTAAAAAATTAAAAAATTACTAAATAAGCCAATTCACTGACAAACCTTAAGTCAACTCCTTTATTGAACTAAAATCAATCATAAAATTAAAAATATAATCTTTTTAATGTGCATGGGACTCACAAAAATATAAAATTTATCTCATATAAGTGAGTTGAATTTTGTTCTATTACCGGTTGATGTGTTCTTA